GAAGTCCCTCTACAATTCCATATTGTATATAGTCATAGCCACTCATGGAGGCTTAACTGGTGATCGAGTGTAGGAGAATATTCTCTACACGCTGCAATATAATGTCTATGCGTGGGGTGACTTCCATATCAGGAGGAGTTCAAAGGTATTATGAACCTGCACTGGGGTCAGTATGGGGAAGATACCTCAAATATGTTTTAAGGGACCGTGCCTCCTGTTTCCCGCTGTTTTCTTTCTTTTGCACTCATTTTTCTTTTCACTTTTCAGTTTCAGGAAGACAGTCAGGGTCAGTGACTTGGTCCAGAAGTAGTTGCTGTTTCTGGTGCAGTTTCAGTTTGCGAAGGCTGATGAAATGGAAGTGTCGATGTATCTTTAGCATTGATTTTGAAACAATGTTTTCTGATGGGTTGATGCAGCTTATGGCTATCCTGACAGCAACATCATCTTTAAAGAGGCGGAGGGAGGAGAAGAGAGGAGACTACAGTAGACTATATATCTGTAAAGAAGAAGGATTATCCGATGTATAATGCCCGCACTAATTTCTTTGCGTCTGTAGAAGAAGTATCATTGTTGGTATATTTTACTTCCAGAATTTTTTGTTTGTGTAAGAAAGAAAGGACACGATTTAGAAGAGGACATGTGATTACCACTGCAGTTTTGCACATTTGATTACATCAGTGCAGTCCATTATGCTATCGTATGTTGTTTTACTACAGCGGGAGCAAACTTGCGTGTTGCGACAAGACTTCCCGCTCCATGTCCAAAACGTTGACGAATTAAAACAACAGAGTGGATGAGGAATGTAAACATCCACACCGATGTTGAAATATCAGCCTTGATAGATGGAAGGAGTTTTTGATAGGCCAAACGTAAACAGGTAAGTATTGGTGTTAAGAATCTTGTCACCATCAGCTTCCTGGTAAAAACGTTTAACTGACGTTAAACCTTGAGGATATCATTTCTACAGCAATTTCCTCTTCGGACATGTCTGAAAGGCACTTCTAACGCGATCTCGGACCGTGCCTCTACACGAGATTCAAAGTTTTATGCGGACACAAACAATCTCCGTGTTCCGCAAAGCTGATGTGCTTTCAGGAGATTTTCAGACTGTTTATCTCCTTGAACATTCCACAAGCAGGGAACCAGAGCGGAGACGAGTGACATGCATTTTTCACTGTGCCACATATTCCTTCAATGGATTTGGAAACTACAAAGGATTGATTTTTAGTGGATACCATCGAAAATCCTTCTACAACCAAATCAATCAATGACCAAGAATCCAGTATGTGGATGAGAATCCTCATCGGAAGATAGTGAAACATCTGGATCAATATGCCGTCTTTTCGTTTTGGGCGAGAACCAGTCAATTTGTATAGGTAGCCATAATGCAAGAAGATTATTCAGCATCCCTGCTCCCATCCGCCATCGAGTGTCAGCAAAGGACAGTGATGTAGTGGGAAATAACTACAAACACCAAGGCTACTTGGGAATGCTATACTCCAGCAAAATGGACACAGATAGCTGACGATTTTGCCAAACCAAGGTATAAGTCAGGCTGGTTCTGCCCAAGACAGATCCCCTGAAGACAAAACAGAACCCGGAGGTCAAAATGCCAGATTGGCCCGTGAGCCACCGCTTCTGGCATAGGACTCTAGGCATTGTAATATAGCAACAGTAATTCATTACATAGAAAATCAGGATGTAGCTCAAGGGCCAGTAACAAAAATGTGCATAAAATAATCACCATGCACAGGAAGCAGCGTGACCAGCCGATTGATAGAACCGGGCCAGTTCTACCACCCGTCTAGGTGAAGTAAGAGGGGCGAAGTGGTGTGTTGGGCAAGAGGAACACGGTTCCAGGCTCCCAGAGTGCCCTCAACCACCAGCCTCACGTCCTCCACCGACACAGGGGCGCAACCCGCGGCAAACGGGTTGGTGGACCAAATATCCCCGGGTCCCACAACAGGGGTTGAAGGGCGCTTAGCGTGACCCAGCACCACCACGAGGAGGTGGCCTTCATGGGTGCCAATTAAAATATGAAATATTAGAATTGTTAGGTACAAGGTGCGTTGACTCTTTTTGTTTTCTGGTATGTCCTGAACAGGATTGAGTTCAAATTTAACGTCACCTCGGCAATATTTCCAGCCATATGGTGACGAGGGTTTTGGATACACAATAAATACAAGTTGTTAAATAACCAGTCATGGAAGGACTGTAAAATAACTAGAGAATCACACATGGTGTTTTAAAACTAGCATGTATATCTAAAACTATTTTATTTACGAAGACAATACATAATATATAAAACAATAGGTCGCCAACAACTGAAGGTAGATCACTATACTGTGGACCATGGGGACGTGCAGTGCCTTTGTTATCTGCATGGACCCTAGCTGGATTTACACGATCCCCTCAGCCACTGGTGATTGGAACAATACAGCCATAAATTAAAATCCACTCATATTCTAAAATTAAAATTGTGGTAAGAGGACGCATATACTTGAAAGTTTGGGGACTTACGCACCCCTCTCAGGAGAACATTATTTTCACGATACTTTAACCCCTCTGAGGATACAGCCACCAACAATCGCAGTTGCTAATTTATACTGCATTCATAAAATACCATCCCTCTAGTTACAAAAAGATATTGTTAAAAAATTATCATTCTATTTCTTCTGAGACAGGACTTCCACAATAGAGAAACGGTAATTGTAGTTCGCTTGATTTTTTCTCTCGAATATTAGATGTATATTTGATCTGAAAGATTGCAGGCGGAGCAAATCGCAAAATGAATTGCAAACAAACATGAAAATCACAACATGGACATGACACAACAGTAGAGGCATATTGAGACAAATCCAACAAGAGAATTACATGGGACATAATTCTTAACTGCTTTACTGAAATCAGGAATACTATAGTCTAAAAGCAAACAGCAGTACAAGCAACAAGAATCGTATATAACTATCAAGAACAGAATGTGTTATTGTACCAAAAACGTTGTTAGATGTAGCACTAAAGGGTATACCTGCTGAATGAAAAATCTATCCCGGTTATATACAGACCGCCGAGAAAAAAAGCATAATGATGGTAAGGTGATGTGATACTACATACCTGAAAGCAAAACTACAGCACACATAATTATATATATCAAGAAACCACCAGTTGCCGGTCTACATAGTGCTGTTTGTCAGTTGTCCACATGCCAGTTGTATGCGCGTATCCACATTCTCATCAAGGTAGAAAACAAGTAGCTACATTTCTATAAAAAAAATAATGTAGCCAATATCAATTACATGTAAAAAGCCTAACCAACCACGCATCATTGTAATATTATTTCTAATATCCATTAACAGGAAACTATTTTCTATTCCTATTTTGTATACATCATATTTCTTACATCGTTATCAAGCTGAAAATGAGTACAACCAAAATGGTTAGGAGCATATATACATGGTATGTTGTGACAAACAGCAGATTAACATTAACAACAGCATGTAATAGAATAACAAATTGGTACATAATTGGAAGAGGACAGTAGGGAACTAAAAACTAACAAGTAGCACCAGTGATGAAGCCAATACACAGGGGATTAAGTAGTAACAACAAATAGACAGGGTGCTATTGATGGTCCATAGCTTGATTAGGCGGATGGGATGTAGTATCCTTGGTCACGGTTGATCAAAGGTTGTGGGTGGCGGATTTCAGATGGTTTCCAACAGTTAATTCTTTTGTTGTCGTTTTGTGCTAGTGAAACATCGTGAACATCACCCTGCCTGGTCGCTATGGACCCCGATATTATCACGTGACCTGGACACACCTTTGTCTTGCATCAGCGATTAGTGTTTACTACATATGTACGTAAGCATGTAAACCCTTGTTCTTGTTACCCTGAGCTAATACAGCCAGCCCCATCTTGTCTGTACTTATTTGGCTTCTCTTTCGTTGAACGTATTGACTCCTCATCATGTTGTGACCTTTTGACCATTTACCTGAAATTACCTTAATCTTTTGTATGTACTCTATACGCTTAGGGACCCGTGAAGATCCAGGGAAGATTAGGTCTTCAGCAACCCATTCTTGTCATAAAAGAAGACGACTATGCTTGTCGTAAAGGCGACTAACGGGATCGGGCGGTCAGGCTCGCTGACTTGGTTGACACATGTCATCGGTTCCCAATTGCGCAGATCGATGCTCATGCTGTTAATCACTGGGTTGTCTGGTCCAGACTCGATTATTTATAGACCGCCACCATATAGCTGTAATATTGCTGAGTGCAGCGTAAAACTAAACTCACTCACTATACCCTTAGTTATTATTCACCCGTTGATGGGACAAGACGTTGCCATGAAACAATTAAATCAGCTGTTATACATGCTCGTCCTGGTAAATGTCCATCAATGACCTTAATTCGTAACAATTCTTGTTTGGTTTCATCATTTTCAATGACATACATTGAATGATAGCCATTACGTAATTATCATATATTGCATTTATACTCTGTTTGGGATCACACTTTCTCAGTAAATCACAGATTAGGATACTTTTGGGCCTGAGTCCTATTCAGAATCCGAACCAAAAACTCTGAAAGTCAGGCACCTGACTGGTGTGAACAACTCAGCATCCGCGGCTGACACAACTAATGGAAGCGAAGAGTCTGCATCACGCACTTTGTGTACCCCTCCTTTTAAGAAGATTAACATGGCGTGGCTCTATAATGGAAAGTTGTTCGTGAAAGCCGTGCTGGCTGAGTGAATCAGGTAAAGTCTAACAGGACAAAACATGTTGATTTCACACAGTGACGTGATGGTTTGTGAGACGTTGGCACACAAACCGTCTATTTTAGTGCTTTTACTCACAATATCACGTTCTTCAAACCAACAATCAGGTCGTTGTCCGTCAGACTGAAGTCATTGCTGTCGTTGTCCCTCAGACTGAATTCATTGCTGTCGTCGTCCCTCAGACTGACGTTATGGCTGTCGTTGTCCCTCTGACTGAAGTTATTGCACGTCGTTGTCCCTCAGACTGAAGTTATTGCTGTCGTTGTCCCTCAGACTGAAGTCATTGCTGTCATTGTCTTTCAGACTGAAGTCATTGCTGTCGTTGTCCCTCAGACTGAAGTCATTGCTGTCGTCGTCCCTCAGACTGACGTTATGGCTGTCATTGTCCCTCTGACTGAAGTCATTGCTGTCGTTGTACCTCAGACTGAAGTCATTGCTGTCGTCGTCCCTCAGACTGACGTTATGGCTGTCGTTGTCCCTCTGACTGAAGTCATTGCTGTCATTGTCCCACAGACTGAAGTCATTGCTGTCGTTGTCCCTCTGACTGAAGTCATTGTTGACGTTGTACCTCTGACTGAAGTCATTTTCCTTGTCTCTCAGAGTGACGGCGTTGTCGTCGTTGTCTCTATGTGCTGTAAACAAGGCTACTTTGGGGGCATAGTCTGAATAATGCATACCATAATATAACACAACAGCTGAAAGATAATGTCTATTAAACCGTGATCTTGAACTTTGATAATTATATTACACGGCTCCTCAAAAGGACAACGTTATACATGACACAAGTGAAACTGTTACATTTCCTTATACGTGGGTCCCCCTGTGTAAGGCATGTAAGTTCCAAAACATTCAAATTAATTTAAAACTCTAAACTTTTTAATCGTTCAATATGTGTCTTTTTAATGTATGGCTAAATTTATCTAAACTGCTAACGGCTGAAGGGATGTGTAAATCCAGTTAGGGTCCATGGAGGAAGCAAATGTACTGTAAGTACCCATGGTCCCTAGTATGGTGATCTACCTTTCAGTTGTTGGCAACCTGTAGCTTGTTTTATATATTGTATTGTCTTTTCATAATTATGATATCTTTTATTTTCATACTAGTTTTACGTTTATAACTGTGATATTCTAGTCATTTACCGTCTCTTTGCGGACATGTAAGTATATTATCTGAATTTGATTTTAACTCATCATAAATGTACAACTTAATTGGTCACGATATGGCTGAAATACTGCCGATGAGACTTTAAATTTTAACTCACTCACTCATAATTCATTTTAAACTCTTTAATAACATATATATCTTTTCGACTCGGGTTATTGGAAGATATGTGAGGAAAAAACGACATCACTATCAAATTGCACATTTCACTGTGTGTCGACAGCAATTTCCTTATCACTGAAAAGACCCTTGAAATATTCAAGCCATTCTTGTATTTCTATATTGTTACCTCTTGACTTTTCAATTATAGTTTTTAAGTGCATCCCATAAAACTTTCAAGGAGAAGTATTTCCAGCATCTCTCTGTTCTTATGAAAACATTTTAATGAGCTCATTTGCGACTTTTGGTATAGGCTCTAACACCGTTATCGCTTGCTTGATAACGTGAGTTTAAGTCACTCACTCTCTCTTAACTCGTGAGGATGCAATGAAATAAATACCCATCGCCTTCAATACACGTCTGAATACTACAAGGTTTTACATGACATCCAGCATAGACTTTTTCTAAGGTTTAGCAAACTGATTACATGGTCGAAGTAGTTACTATATATCACTGCACGGCTTGAGATACACATGCAGTATAATTATTCTTGATAATCTATCCCAGCAGATCCGATTCATTTAAGAATCATCCGGTCTGTTCAAGATAAAGCTGCTATCTTCACTGGCTCCTTTACAATATTACTAACGTCTAAAGGTTAGCAAATAGATCGCATGTATTAAACATTACTGCCTGGACTTTTAGGTACACATAGAATTAATACTTATGAGTTTTCCAAGCAAATTTGAGAAGGTACCGCATCTCGCTAAATCTAAAACAAAAGCCTCCGGCAAGCTTTATCTGCATCCCCAAGGACGTTTGATACATTGCGAGAATTTTATACACGTTGGCTGTGTCTGTGTCTTGAACCTCCGAATCTTCAGAAGATGGAACTACTATTCCTTACATGTATGCTCCTTCAAAATGGACAAGCAATGGAACAGGAATGTAGTGTATGGTATTGGAATGAAGCTATGCAACCTGAAATGCATTCAAAGAGGCTCCTGAATGAGTTTTGCATATAACATTGAAAACTTAGCGTGCAGTATTTCTTACAAGGATGAAGCGGAACTGGCTGAGGAGGGATATGTTATTTATCAAAAGAAAGGAAACGAAGTGAGTAATTTCTTCCTCATGTGAGAATATAAATGGTCGTTAGGGTATCTAGAATCCTCGGGGTAAATATGTGGAACTGTCAGGGTGGCTTTTAATCTCCCAGCAAAAATGTCCATGATCGTTATTGAGCTTTTAATTATTTTTTCATGGTTGTTTGTTGTTTAACACCGCACTCCAGCAATATTCCAGCTCAATGGCGGCGATCTGTAAATAATCTAGTCTGGACCAGACAATCCAGCGATCAACAACATGAGCATCGATGCTTGCAATTAGATATAATACATGTGTCAGCGAGCCACATCACCAAATCCCGTGGATTACTCTTACGACAAACATGGGTTGCTGAAGACGAAATCCAACCCGGTTTCACAATATTGCTTATCTGATTATAAATATTGATTTTGTACAAATTTGTATGCTTGGTTGTTTTTTGTGCTTTCAATTGACGTTCATGCTCAGGCATATACATGTAAAGTTTTCGAGGAGTGAGGATGTATAGTTACATCTGCAATATTCCAGTCATACCGTGTCATACTTTCACAAAACGTAGAACGGCAGGATACTTTATGGATGACATTTTTTTCTTTTTAGATCATGATGCAGTCTCTTGCTGATAACGGTAAAAATATCTACCGAAATAAAGAGTTTTGTCATCAATAAGTGAGTGAGTGAGTTAAAGTTTACAGTCACAGCGGCAGTATTTCAGCCCTATCGTGGGTAAAAATAGTTAGAAATTCATGATAAATGCGCAAATAAGAAAACCTGTCGACGACGAAAAGTAAAACCAACTAGTATATCGCAGTAATAAGAAATAAAACTAGCGTGTATCTCTAAAATAGGATTTCAAATTAGGACAAGACAATATTAAATAGGGCTTAGGATCGCCAACAACTGAAGGTAGATCATCATTCTAGGACGTGTCATCAATAAACTTCCCCACAGTTACTCTCATCAATTTCAAAAATGCCAGTTGAAGAGATCATAGAGATCGTCTAATTTATCTCGACGAAGTAAAGTGAAATAACTAGATTATTGCAGAAAAACACCATTTAAGACTAGCATGTTTCTTAAAAAGGTATATAACTATTCAGAACAAAACAATATGACAACGGGCTATATATTGCCAGCAACTGAAGGTAGATCACCATTGAGTGGCCATGTGGATGTATTATTATGCTAGTTGGTTAGCAGCAGGAGTACCGTACGTACTCCTGCTACCCGCTTGGCACCTAGCTGGATTAACATGAATCTTTCAAGTGTTGGCGATTATTGAGAAATTAGCCAACCATTGAGAGAACATCTATACTATTATAAAAATTAGGAATGAAAAAATACATTGAAGGGATTTACATTACTTCTTCAGGGGACAATTATATTACGGTACTTAAACCCCTTTGAAGGTACAGCCACTAACAATCTCAGTTATTGTTGTATTCTTTCAAATTGAAATGGTTCTTACTGTTTTACAATACATATGTTTTCAAAATTTTATCAAATATTCCTATTTCTCTTACAAAATCAATTATTAAATAAGAACTAATATCAAAGAATATCCTTCATAAATGATGATTTCAAATAGTTATCCATTGCGATGGAAGGATACGAAATGGAGGAGTCTCACCTTTAATACATGCAAATTAGTGTGTCTGCTGTCGCCAATATGACACTGTTGAATAATTATCTAATCAAATATGAACAGACAAGTAGGTGTAAACCGATAATTGTAATGTAAACCGAAAGTGTAATAAAATCTATTTATTCCTGATTGGGTGTCCCACTTCTTCTGCATTGGGTCCTTTATGTAACATCTAATGACAGGTTCGTCGCCACTTCATGGGATTAGAAGTGGTGCCACAGATTTGTTGAGTGATGCTTTAGCAGGGCTAGCGGAATCGGCCATTTTGTTAATTCCAACATGGCTGGGTAACCAGCAGAAGACGATGTCGCATTTGCCAACAGAAATATCATTACATAATTTAAGAATTCGACTAGAAGTGGATTCAGAAAATAGCTTTAATTGTCTGAAGACATAGGAGAGAATCAGAATACATAGCTTTTATTATATTTAAGAGATGTATATATAAGTGTTGGTGTTGCTGTACGGTTTGAACTGTCATTTGGTTTTGTTGGCTCTGGATCCATTGAGAGTGGCGCTTTTATAGGTTTGCAAGGCTTATAGTTGCTTTGATAAATTAGCGAGTGAGCGTGTTGAGTTCAAATTTAAGGTCAAATTGGCAATATTTCAGCCATATCGTGACGAGGGTTTCTATATAAACACAAACTATAGTTTAACTACGAAACCTGTCAGCGATGGGCAGTATAGTAACTAGATTTTCACAGGCACGATTGAAAACTAGTTGATAGCCGTTAGTGGAATATATTTACAATCATTAATCAGCAAACATAATGACATATCAATATACAACGGTCCATATATAGCCAACAACTAAAGGTATGTTCCCATGTTGGGGTCCATGTGAACTTTACAGTGCCTTTGCTTCATGGATTGATTATGGATAGTCTCTGGTGAAAAGAACGATGATTAATGTACTTTTTATAGCTACTCATATTCACGCTGTGGATGAAAACTGCCGCTGTGACTATAAATTGTAACTCATTCGCTCGCTCACAATATTTTACCAGGCAATACATTTATGAAAAGTCTTCTGTGTTCTTTGTAAAAGGCATGGTATCCAAACCCATGTCATGTCAAACGAAAATAAAAAGTGAATGTGCTGAAAACAGATTTCATTGACGTAAGTAGGCAAAACAATGGTTTTGAGAATCAGTGATGACCCAAGGTATTTGTTAAAAGTTAAGCATCCCTACTGTACCCCATATCTCTCTCCACTAACATACTGAATTACACTTCTCGGAGATAAAGCTGAACCAGAAACTGTTCACTGAGAAAACAATACAATGAAACCAGTTTCTCCTCCACAAATGCTGTTCATGCAAACGAATGACACACGTAACCGCTGAAATTGTGCTGAGCATCTGTAATGTTTAGGTTTCAGCAGGTGCTTGCTCCCTCATGAACTGCGGACCTGGCACTCGATGTGTGGAGAAACATAGTGGTGACACAGTATGTGTTCAGGGTAAGAGTCTTTGTTTGACCAAGCCACAGGAATCCTTCTTGTAAGGAACATTCAAAGTACTATAGATCGCTTCTATGAGGATTGGTTATACCTGAATGTGTTTTATCATTTACTAATATGTCAGTTAAAATATTGTTTGCTATCTCCTTGTTGAATCTTTTTCAAAGTGGCAAATGTTTTGGGCTTGGTAAATACAATGTC